TCAGTGTGCAGTTCCTTTGGCATTAGGGCATGGATATCTAGATACTTCCCAAGGTTTGACATCATGCATTGTGCTGCTTTTAAAGCAAGCAACCATGTTTTCAAATCTGTAATCAAAAAGATCCGCAAAAACGCTATCGAAGCAGTTCCTGCCGTTGCTACGTAGTTCAAACGGTAACAACGGACTATTTTTGATCTGCCTGTCGGGTGTTCTTTTACCCATAATGACCGCCTCGCTGCACATTGTCCCTTACTTAACTTGGACCTCCGGGGTGGCCTTACTATGGAGGAGTGGATTGAGCAGTGCCTATCTCCAGAAAGCACCTACACGACGACATGCAGAGCTACGTGAAGAGCAGGTAGACCAACTGGAAAGGTACCACCATTCAAAAGCTTTCTGATGCGGGTCTTGAAACAAAGCAGAGAAATGATGAGCGTTAGTGGCCACAGGTGTGAAAGCTCTCTCCAGAGCTACTGGAAGCCGGATCTCAGGGACCGGAGAAAGTGGAGCAATATTCTCGCCACGCCAAGCAACAGCCTAGAACAACCTCAACCTATACAAGTAACCACGTAAGCCATGCTGCTGATGCTGGACAGGTTTTCAGTGGGTGCACAATAAACAGCAACATACACATGAATGTAAATAAATAGCCAAATAATGGATCAACGCTCTTTGTCTAATATGTTCGCTAGCTGTTATTGAAAAAAGTAAACATTGATAGGAATGTTGAGATTTTTTAGAACAAGTACAATTTTGCGATTTATTTTGAAAAAGTTAGAATTTTAAACGTCTCCTCAAGTCGCTGAATGTCCTCTAAACGCTGCATGTGCTGTTTCTTCATGTGGAACATTTGGGTTTTTATATCTGCATCCTTTCTGAAGCTGCTTCTCCTGATGAAGAGATTTGGGTCGGCCTCCGGAAAAATGTCCCTTTTCTGTTGTTTTGAATAAAAAACCACTTTCTATATAAAGTCATGTTTTATCCTCCTGACGTCCTCTGATGCTCAGCGGAGCAGAACATACATCCTGTTGGTTTCTGCTTCTTGTTTACTCAGCTACTGTGTCCGAGGCCTGGGTCCACACACACACACACACACACACACACACACACACACACACACACACACACACACACACACATACACACACACACACACACACACACTCACACACTCTGCCTGTTTCTCATCCTGCAACAGTCACCGTAATGAAAGCCTGCAGCTCTCCGAGTCCTGTCCCACTTTCTTTATGGCCCTGTGTGTGTGTGTGTGTGTGTGTGTGTGTGTGTGTGTGTGTGTGTGTGTGTGTGTGTGTGTGTGTGTGTGTGTGTGTGTGTGTGTGTGTGTGTGTGTGTGTGTGTCCTGAACATCAGCAGGAGAGGACTCTTTAAAGTAGAGACACTACATACTGATATACACCTGAACATCAGCAGGAGAGGACTCTTTAAAGTAGAGACACTACATACTGATATACACCTGAACATCAGCAGGAGAGGACTCTTTAAAGTAGAGACACTACATACTGATATACACCTGAACATCAGCAGGAGAGGACTCTTTAAAGTAGAGACACTACATACTGATATACACCTGAACATCAGCAGGAGAGGACTCTTTAAAGTAGAGACACTACATACTGAAATACACCTGCACATCAGCAGGAGAGGACTCTTTAAAGTAGAGACACTACATACTGATATACACCTGCACATCAGCAGGAGAGTACTCTTTAAGTAGAGACACTACATACTGATATACACCTGAACATCAGCAGGAGAGGACTCTTTAAAGTAGAGACACTACATACTGATATACACCTGAACATCAGCAGGAGAGGACTCTTTAAAGTAGAGACACTACATACTGATATACACCGGAACATCAGCAGGAGAGGACTCTTTAAAGTAGAGACACTACATACTGATATACACCTGAACATCAGCAGGAGAGGACTCTTTAAAGTAGAGACACTACATACTGATATACACCTGAACATCAGCAGGAGAGGACTCTTTAAGTAGAGACACTACATACTGATATACACCCTGAACATCAGCAGGAGAGAACTCTTTAAAGTAGAGACACTACATACTGATATACACCTGAAACATCAGCAGGAGAGGACTCTTTAAAGTAGAAGACACTACATGCTGATATACAACCTGAACATCAGCAGGAGAGGACTCTTTAAAGTAGAGACACTACATACTGATATACACCTGAACATCAGCAGGAGAGGACTCTTTAAAGTAGAGACACTACATACTGATATACAACCTGAACATCAGCAGGAGAGGACTCTTTAAAGTAGAGACACTACATACTGATATACACCTGAACATCAGCAGGAGAGGACTCTTTAAAGTAGAGACACTACATACTGAAATACACCTGCACACCAGCAGGAGAGGACTCTTTAAAGTAGAGACACTACATACTGATATACACCTGCACATCAGCAGGAGAGTACTCTTTAAAGTAGAGACACTACATACTGATATACACCTGAACATCAGCAGGAGAGGACTCTTTAAAGTAGAGACACTACATACTGATATACACCTGAACATCAGCAGGAGAGGACTCTTTAAAGTAGAGACACTACATACTGATATACACCTGAACATCAGCAGGAGAGGACTCTTTAAAGTAGAGACACTACATACTGATATACACCTGAACATCAGCAGGAGAGGACTCTTTAAAGTAGAGACACTACATACTGATATACACCTGAACATCAGCAGGAGAGGACTCTTTAAAGTAGAGACACTACATACTGATATACACCTGAACATCAGCAGGAGAGGACTCTTTAAAGTAGAGACACTACATACTGATATACACCTGAACATCAGCAGGAGAGGACTCTTTAAAGTAGAGACACTACATACTGATATACACCTGAACATCAGCAGGAGAGGACTCTTTAAAGTAGAGACACTACATACTGATATACACCTGAACATCAGCAGGAGAGGACTCTTTAAAGTAGAGACACTACATACTGATATACACCTGAACATCAGCAGGAGAGGACTCTTTAAAGTAGAGACACTACATACTGATATACACCTGAACATCAGCAGGAGAGGACTCTTTAAAGTAGAGGACACTACATACTGATAGTACACCTGAACATCAGCAGGAGAGGACTCTTTAAAGTAGAGACACTACCATACTGATATACACCTGAACATCAGCAGGAGAGGACTCTTTAAAGTAGAGACACTACATACTGATATACACCTGAACATCAGCAGGAGAGGACTCTTTAAAGTAGAGACACTACATACTGATATACACCTGAACATCAGCAGGAGAGGACTCTTTAAAGTAGAGACACTAAATACTGCTATACATCTGAACATCAGCTGGAGAGTACTCTTTAAAGTAGAGACACTACATACTGATATACACCTGAACATCAGCAGGAGAGGACTCTTTAAAAGTAGAGACACTACATACTGATATACACCTGAACATCAGCAGGAGAGGACTCTTTAAAGTAGAGACACTACATACTGATATACACCTGAACATCAGCAGGAGAGGACTCTTTAAAGTAGAGACACTACATACTGATATACACCTGAACATCAGCAGGAGAGGACTCTTTAAAGTAGAGACACTACATACTGATATACACCTGCACATCAGCAGGAGAGTACTCTTTAAAGTAGAGACACTACATACTGATATACACCTGAACATCAGCAGGAGAGGACTCTTTAAAGTAGAGACACTACATACTGATATACACCTGAACATCAGCAGGAGAGGACTCTTTAAAGTAGAGACACTACATACTGATATACACCTGAACATCAGCAGGAGAGGACTCTTTAAAGTAGAGACACTACATACTGATATACACCTGAACATCAGCAGGAGAGGACTCTTTAAAGTAGAGACACTACAGGAGAGGACTCTTTAAAGTAGAGACGTGTAGAATGTAATTCACATTTCAGTCTTTGTTATTATCTTAGATGAATGATTCAATCCTCTTTAGGATTACAAACTGTTGTAGCTCTCAAACTAATTAGGAATGCGACTCTAATGGAGAAGATAATATATTGATATCCATATTTATAAAGTCAGATGGAAACTGTTGTGATTCATGTATTTCTGATGTAAACAAACTGGTACAGCGTTCACAGAGTTGTGTAGCTGCTTTCCTTTCTGTGAGCGCCCTCTGCTCTCATCTGGAGTCAGAGGACATGTTTCAAAGTGACTGAGACGTTATGTTGATATCAGGTGTTTGAAGTGCGTACTGGACTCAGTGAATAAAGCAGCTTCTGCTCAGGTCTAAGATAAGAACAACTTGAAAAGTATTATTTTAATTCACAGAATGAAGGAAATCCAGAAATAAAGGCCAATTGTATATTTTAAAAAACCCGTCTTACATTTCTTAAAATAAAGAATTGAATTCCTTTAATGTCATTGTACAGGTACATTAAAGTGCATATCGATATATCATCAAGCAATGAAAGAACAATATATATGCATCTGTACACTTATCTATACATACGATCAATGGGACCCTCCCTGAAGCTTTGGCGACCGCCAGAAGGATCTTTGAAAGACTGAATTTATTTTGAGCTTGCATTGGTATTGTGTTCATGTTGTGTGTTCGTGTGAGGACACATTGAGTTACACTCTGGAGCCACTTGGAAGCAAAAAGGACGGGGGGGGGGGTTCACTCTGATGCAGACAGAGAGGAAGAGGAGGAGGGAGAGGAGGAGGGAGAGGAGGGAGAGGAGGAGGGAGAGGAGGAGGGAGAGGAGGAGGAGGGAGAGGAGGAGGAGCGATGATCGAGAGCAGAGGCTGAGCAGCTCTCAGTCTCTGCTCAGCGCTCAGTGCAGCAGCTGCTCTTCCTCACATCTCGTCCTCCTCACATCTCTTCTTCTTTCTCTCTTTTCTTCCTCCTCATATCATCTCTTCCTCTCATCTCCCCCTCCTCCTCTTCCTCCCCCCTCACATCTCCTCTCCCTCCCCCGCCATGCTGCCCTGGAGGAGGAAGACGCTGGTCCTGGTGGAGGAGGAAGGACGGAGTAAAGGGAGGAGCTTCAGCTACAGCTCCATCCTGTCCTCGCTGCTGCGCTCCTGCCCCTCGCTGCTGCCCGCCGGACCCCCCCCCTGGGTGGGCCGCCTCCTCCACAGCAGGAGGCAGAAGGTGGAGCTCAACAAGGAGGAGCCCGTCTACACCGTCAGGTACATCTATCTATCAACTATCTACTTATTTTCCTGACGACTTTTTACTTTCTACTTCTTACATGTTGAACCCAAATACCTGTACTTTCTACTTCTTACATGTTGAACACAAATACCTGTACTTTCTACTTCTTACATGTTGAACACAAATACCTGTACTTTCTACTTCTTACATGTTGAACACAAATACCTGTACTTTCTACTTCTTACATGTTGAACCCAAATACCTGTACTTTCTACTTCTTACATGTTGAACCCAATACCTGTACTTTCTACTTCTTACATGTTGAACCCAAATACCTGTACTTTCTACTTCTTACATGTTGAACCCAAATACCTGTACTTTCTACTTCTTACATGTTGAACACAAATACCTGTACTTTCTACTTCTTACATGTTGAACACAATACCTGTACTTTCTACTTCTTACATGTTGAACACAAATACCTGTACTTTCTACTTCTTACATGTTGAACACAAATACCTGTACTTTCTACTTCTTACATGTTGAACCCAAATACCTGTACTTTCTACTTCTTACATGTTGAACCCAAATACCTGTACTTTCTACTTCTTACATGTTGAACACAAATACCTGTACTTTCTACTTCTTACATGTTGAACCCAAATACCTGTACTTTCTACTTCTTACATGTTGAACCCAAATACCTGTACTTTCTACTTCTCACATGTTGAACCCAAATACCTGTACTTTCTACTTCTTACATGTTGAACACAAATACCTGTACTTTCTACTTCTTACATTTTGAACTCAAATACCTGTACTTTCTACTTCTTACATGTTGAACTCAAATACCTGTACTTTCTACTTCTCACATGTTGAACTCAAATACCTGTACTTTCTACTTCTCACATGTTGAACCCAAATACCTGTACTTTCTACTTCTTACATTTTGAACCCAAATACCTGTACTTTCTACTTCTTACATGTTGAACCCAAATACCTGTACTTTCTACTTCTTACATGTTGAACCCAAATACCTGTACTTTCTACTTCTTACATTTTGAACTCAAATACCTGTACTTTCTACTTCTTACATTTTGAACTCAAATACCTGTACTTTCTACTTCTCACATGTTGAACTCAAATACCTGTACTTTCTACTTCTTACATGTTGAACCCAAATACCTGTACTTTCTACTTCTTACATTTTGAACTCAAATACCTGTACTTTCTACTTCTTACATGTTGAACCCAAATACCTGTACTTTCTACTTCTTACATTTTGAACTCAAATACCTGTACTTTCTACTTCTTACATTTTGAACTCAAATACCTGTACTTTCTACTTCTTACATGTTGAACCCAAATACCTGTACTTTCTACTTCTCACATGTTGAACACAAATACCTGTACTTTCTACTTCTTACATGTTGAACCCAAATACCTGTACTTTCTACTTCTTACATGTTGAACACAAATACCTGTACTTTCTACTTCTTACATTTTGAACTCAAATACCTGTACTTTCTACTTCTTACATGTTGAACCCAAATACCTGTACTTTCTACTTCTTACATGTTGAACACAAATACCTGTACTTTCTACTTCTTACATGTTGAACACAAATACCTGTACTTTCTACTTCTTACATGTTGAACTCAAATACCTGTACTTTCTACTTCTTACATGTTGAACTCAAATACCTGTACTTTCTACTTCTTACATGTTGAACCCAAATACCTGTACTTTCTACTTCTTACATGTTGAACACAAATACCTGTACTTTCTACTTCTTACATGTTGAACTCAAATACCTGTACTTTCTACTTCTCACATGTTGAACTCAAATACCTGTACTTTCTACTTCTTACATGTTGAACACAAATACCTGTACTTTCTACTTCTTACATGTTGAACACAAATACCTGTACTTTCTACTTCTCACATTTCCCAAACAGGCTGGTTCCTTTAGTTTGAATGTGTGTTTGGTGGCGTGATCATTATTCTTTAGAGTCATTGCGTGCCTATTGATTTGAACACGATCCGTGTATCCATCATTTCCTGGTCTTCTCTAAAGAAGAGGGACCAATGAAAACGTTGTCATGTTGCCGTTGTTCAGCATGGAAACATTCATTAGCTAACAATGACATTATTGTTCTATTAATATAAAGGGAGGTCAGGTACTCTTTAAAACAGCTGCTAGTTATGGGTACTTTTTACTGAAGTACATTTCAAAGTTCTTTACTTTGACTTGAGTAAAGAAGTTTAGTCAGTACTTCTACTTTCACCAGAGTACTTTTAAACACGAGTATCTGTACTTCTACTTGAGTTAACGATGTACTGTTGCCCTCTGTCAGGTACCTAGGCAGCGTGGTCACCTTCACGGCGAAGGGCGAGGACTGCACCCGGGAGGCGGTAGAGAGGATCTGGGCGAGGAGCGGCTTCGGGGAGCAGAGCGTGAAGATGAACCTGAGCGTCGGAGCGCACGGCCTCCGCCTGAGCAGCGACAAGAAGAAGAAGAAGAAGAATCCGGCGCACCTGTACTCTCTGAGCCGGATCACGCACTGCGGCGCCGACCCGGCCCGGACCCGGATCCTGGCCTGGGTCTACCGACACCAGGTGAGCACATCCTCTACTCAAGCAGAAGTAGAGATATTCCTGTTTAACAATACTCTGGTAAAAGTAGATTTGATCACGACGGGGGAAATCAAGTCCATCTTAAAGGACAGAGAACAAGAATCCATTGGTCGATGTGATTGCTCTTATAATTGAAGGTGTTTTCAAATTGTGCCAGTTTTTAATGTTTTATAATAGTTTCTTTTATTTGCATATTGACTGGTTAATGTTTCATTGGTGTTGTTCAGCTGTATTCGTCTGCCTGTATTGTTTTGTGTTCATTTGTTGTAACTTTGTTCATGCTGCCCTCTTGGCCAGGTCGCTCTGGGAAAACACAAACTTCTTTACTCAAGTAAAAGTAAAGAAGTTTGGGCTTTGAAATGTACTAAAGTAAAAAGTACCCATAACTAGCAGCTGTTTTAGAGAAGACCAGGACATTATGGATACACAGAAAACGCAGATTTGGGCCAGGTCATGTGATTTAGTGTCCATGGGCCAGGTCATGTGATTTAGTGTCCATGGGCCAGGTCATGTGACTTTAGGCTCGTTTGAGATGAGCTGCGTCTCGCCTCGAAAGTAGGCGAGAATAGCCGATGGCAGCCGGGGGCGGTCTCAAAAAGCTCGCCTGAAGTCGGACAGCTCGGAGTCGGCTTGACTCGGTTTGCAAAGGCGGAAATTGCGTTGGCGTTCTTCGTTGCAGATGATGAAGTGGATGCAATAGAAATCCCACAATTATGATATCACTACAAATGAATGACTCAAGTGTCTGTTCATTTGAAAACAAATCAATACAAGGGGGGTTAAATCCTACATGTAAAAGACAGAACCACTACTTTTCAAAACTACTTCTGTCAGTAGTCTTGACTAGGGATGGGACCGATTAATCGAATGTTCGAATATTCGAAATTATTCAGGTGTCGAATAATTATTCAGGTATTCGAATATGAGTTATGAATATATATATTTTTTTATCTCTCTCTCTCTCGCGTCCGGTACTTCACTCGCGTTTATGTCCAAATCCATCAGATCTAGCTAGTTCTAGCTAATCAAATCAAATCAAATCAAATCAAGGTTTATTTATAAAGCACATTTAAAAGCGATTTTTGGTCGGGCCAAAGTGCTGTACATGTAATAACTACAGTCACATAAAAACACATTTCTATAATCACAATAAAAGACAATAAATTACAACAGATATTTAAAAAGAAAACACAGGGTTAAAGTCAGGAGTCGTGCTCCGCTCTGACTAAAAGGCCAGGGAGAAGAAGTGTGTCTTAAGAGTATATTTAAAGACCCCTAGGGTCTGGGCCGACCTCACATGGAGGGGCAGAGTAATGCTATGGCTGCTGCCCCTGCCTACACGCAGATCACTCAGACTCAAACCTCATCTTATGCCCAAATGCGCTCCGCAGCCGTTGGGAGGTTCCGGCGCTAACAGTTCATGAGCGTGCTCCCCCGCCCCCTGTCAACACTCGCGACACATGAGTGGCCAGCCTAAACAACAATAAGCGTTGCTTGGCAACCGTGTGTGGCGGCAAAGTACATAGACATTTTGACAGGAGAGATTTAGTTTTGCCGGTATTCAACATATTTGACCAGTCATAGTCCGGTCATTATTTACACTCTAAGAAGAGTCCTACACAACAGACATGGCGTCAAAAAGGAGTAATGTGTGGAAAGATTTCGACCAGGTTAGTGAGTGCGGTGTAGAGTGCAAACTATGCCAAATTAAACTTATATATATACATACTATACCTTGCTATACCTGAGAGGGTCTCCTTGCTATACCTGAGAGGGTCTCCTTGCTATAGCTAAGAGGGTCTTCTCTACAGCTGGCCTGATTGTGAATCCGCACATGAAAGCTGTAGGCCTATAGCTGTCAAACTGTGATCACCAGTTCAATACATTTGACAAATTCGACTTGGTTTCTATACTTATTTGAACATGTATTTATTTATTTCCAAAAGTTATTGAAACATATGTTTTCGAAAAAAAATGTTAGACATTTTTTTTTTATGGGATATTTACATTTCGGTTAACCGTTTTTTGGGGGGTCGAATATTCGAATATACATTTGCTTTCAAATTCCCATCCCTAGTCTTGACCAGTTTGCATTTATAAAGAATGCACAAATGTGTTTAATCGTTAATGTCAGATATGTACTAAGTACATTTGTTCCTGCTCAAGATTAGATTCAACTTGATTGATATTGCACAGATTACAGGAGACAACGAAATGCAGTTTAGCTTCTAACCAGGAGTGCAACAAGCAGTAAAGTGAAAAGTAATGTACACAATCTACAGAATAAAATATAGAATGAAGGTAGGGGGGGGGCAGTTCCATGGACACACTGGTGGGTGAGGACGGAGACCTTGAATTCTATCCTCAGTTCCACGGGGAGCCAGTGTAGTGCTTTAAGGATGGGGGTGATGTGATCATATTTGCGCACCCTCATCAGGATCCTAGCAGCGCTGTTCTGGATGTTCTGGAGCTTCTGGATGCTTTTGTTAGGGATCCCGATGAGGAGTGCGTTGCAATAGTCCAGCCTGGAGGAGACAAAGGCGTGGACCAGCTTTTCGGCGTCAGACAGAGCGAGTGTGGGGCGGAGTTTGGCGATGTTCCTGAGGTGATAAAAGGAGTTCTTGCACAGCTGTTTAATGTGAGCCTCAAAGGTCAGATGGGCGTCCATTTTCACACCCAGGTTGGTGACTATTGAGGAGAGGGTAATGTCCTGGCCGGAGAAGGTGATGGTGGTGATGGTGGTGATGGTGGATGACCGAACCTGGGGTGCCAACTATATTGGCTTCGGTCTTGGAGCTGTTGAGTTTCAGGAAGTTTTGCTTCATCCACGCCTGTATCTCCTCCAGGCAGGCAGTGAGTGTGGGTGAAGGCAGGGCTGCAGAGGAGGTGAAGGCAGGGCTGCAGAGGAGGTGAAGGCAGGGCTGCAGAGGAGGTAGGGTTGATCCTGAGGTACAGTTGGGTGTCATCAGCGTAACAGTGGAATGATACTCCATGTCGGCTGATGATAGAGCCAAGGGGGAGCATGTAGAGTGTAAAGAGGGTGGGGCCGAGAACTGATCCTTGAGGGACACCACAGGTGACGTTGTGGGTACCCGACTCTGCCTCGCCCAAGGAGACGTACTCTGTTCTCCCGGTGAGGTAAGATCTGAACCAGTCAAGGGGAGAGTCAGAGAGTCCGATGGTGGAGGAGGATGCCGTGCAGTGAGATCGAGGAGGATGAGGAGAGTGGGAGAGCCAGCATCAGCCGTCATCAGCAGGTCGTTGGTGACCCTGACCAGGGCAGTTTCTGTGCTGTGGCCTGAGCGGAAACCAGACTGGAACTTCTCAAATAGGTTGTTGGAGTTTAGGTGGTCCTGGAGCTGAGCAGCAACTAGTTTTTCCAGCACCTCTGACAGAAAAGGGAGGTTGGAAATGGGTCTGTAGTTGGCCAGAACTCCCGGGTCAAGGGAGGGTTTTTTGAGACGAGGTTTGATGACAGCGGTTTTTAGGGCAGAGGGGACATGGCCAGCCTGGAGAGAGAGGTTTACGATCTTAGTGATCATGGGGCTCATGGTACAGATGTAAGATTTCACCAGAGCTGACGGAAGGGGGTCCAGGACACAGGTGGAGGGCTTCATCCTCCTAACGATGCCCTCAACCTCTCGCTGAGAGATGTCCGTGAAACAGCGAAGAGGCTGGGTTGTCCCAGGCTGTGGGTCAGCAGTTGGAACTGGAGGTGCAGAGGGGCTAGAGAGGAGGGAGCGGATGGTGTCAACTTTGTTTATGAAGTAGGCGGCGAAGTTGCTACACTGCTTCTCAGTGGAGTCGGAGTGTAGAGGACTTTGGGGGTTTGAGGAGGTGGTTTATGGTGGAGAAGAGTTGCTTGGAGTTTCCAGTACTGTTGTTGATGATGGAGGAGTAGTACTGGGACCGTGCATCTCTGAGGGACTGTGCGTAGGCCTTCTGGTGTTCACGATAGGCTAACCGGTGAACAGTGAGTCCTGAGGCCTTGAGCCGCCGCTCAAGGACACGCCCAGCTGTGTTCATTCTCCGCAGCTCGCCGGTGTACCAAGGGGCTGAGCGCAAGAAGGTGACCATCCTGGTTTTGAGGGGGGCGTGCAGATCAAGGAGACTGTTAAGGGACTGGTTGTAATATTCCACTGACTCATTTACTGATGAGAAGTTGGCGGAAGAGAGATGCTGGAGGTCCAGGGTCATGGTGTCCGGGTTGATGTTCCACAGGTTCCTGAAGCGGATTTTGCGTTGGGCTTGCTGAGTGGGGACTGGAAAGACAGCTCCATAGAGATGGTCTTGTGGTCAGACACCCCCAGGTCATACACTAGCAGATTGCTGATGGGGGCGGAGTTTGTGTCGAGCGTGTGGCCCTTGGCGTGTGCGGGGACATCAACATGCTGTGTCAGATTGAGGCAGTCCAGAAGTAGCAGAAACTCAGTGGCAAAGTGGCAGGAGGGGGAGTCGACGTGAATATTAATATCTCCAAGTATGATGATATTGGCAGAGGTTGTGCATAGCGTAGTGAGAAGGTCTTGTATCTCTGGGATGAAAGCTGAGTTGGGTTTGGGTGGCCGGTAGATCAGAAGTATTGTCAGGGGGAAGGGGGGTTTACATTTAAATGCAAGGCATTCAAAAGAGGACAATACAGGCAGGGGCAGGAGTGACAGTTCCAATTCCTTTCGGTAGATGACAGCTAGGCCTCCACCACGACCAGTGCTGCGGGCTTTCTCCAAGTAGCTGTAGTCAGGATATATAGTATAAAATATATAGATATTAATTTAATGATGATAAACATTGTGGAACAATGATGAAAAATATGAATGGAAGTGGCGACGTCAAACTGACACAAAACAACAACACACTTTAGCCGAGCCAATGGAGAGCTTCATCTCCAGCACGGGGTAAAACCCACCAATGAGCGCTCAGCTCCAGATACCAGCGAGTCGTTTCCCATCAAGCATTTATCTTCCTCAGCCCGTGGAGAGAAACTGCGCCGCCTCGCCGCGCCTCGCTCTCAAGGCTGCCGGCGTCTTTGTCCCGCAATATTTCAACGTCTCATGTAGTCGAGCCTCCAGAGCAAGTCGGACAAAATGACTAACCATCATGCAACGCACTAGCAAGACGGCGGTCGCAATTGCGCAGGTCTGCGTCGGTCTCGCTCGTCTCAAACGAGCCTTTTGTGTCCACGGGCCAGGCTAACACACGTGATAGAACGAGCTACATTTCAGAAGCTTGTTTTTGTTGCTAAAGGTACAATTCAAGCCATTTAAGAATTAAAATGCTCAGATGACCTTTATTACATTTAACCTGTTGTGAAAACACGTGTTGATCAAATGTATATGAAACAAATTAGATAAACATCCGTGTGACACTAATGTCACAATTAGAAATATGATAATGATCTGCTCAGTTAATTTAGATGATTCAATGTTCATATATTCTATATTCTTCAGTGCAAAGAACGTTCAAACACATTTTTACCAAAAGATCCTCCTCATTAATGAAGTTATAAATAAGAGTTACTTTACCATTAACGCCCAATGGGACATGTATGCCCCTTCTCAGATCTCTGACACTAGGGGGCGCTACTTGTCAGAAATGTGTTCTAGGTGGTCTATTTAGTCTAAATGATGTTCCCCTTCATTTCCCCCAAAGTAGAAATGTGTCCAGGTTCTTCTGGGTGAAGTAACTCAGTGTTTGTGCTGCAGGTGAGGAACCTGGCGGTGGTGCTGCGCTGCCACGCCGTGCTGCTCAGCCGCCCCGAGCAGGCGGAGGCCGTCTCCGTCAGCCTGGACCAGAGCTCCTCCTCCGCCTTCAGCGAGTTCAAGAGGCTGAAGAGGCTGAGCGACCATCGCCACGTCCAGACCCAGCTGCTGGGGGGGGGGGGTTCCTCTCATGCCCCTCCGCAGGGTCCTGAACGGGCAGTGCCACTACAGGACCCCTGCTGACAGGACGCTCTGCTCCATCACTGAGGAGGAGGAGGAGGAGGAGGAGGAGGAGGAGGAGGAGGAGGAGGAGGAGGAGGAGGAGGAGCAGAGGAAGGTGTTCACCACCAGCACCCGACCCCCACACAGCTCCTCTCACAGCTCGACCCTCAGAGACATCGCCCGCCTGGAGCAGTGCCAGATCAACTTCGTGAGCGACAACAACAACAACACGTTCACCTTCATCACCTCTCTGGTGTGAGAGACACAACAACAAACACTTCACCTTCATACCTCGCTGGTGTGAGAGACAACAACAACAACAACAACATCAACAACAACACGTTCACCTTCATCACCTCGCTGGTGTGAGAGACAACAACAACAACACGTTCACCTTCATCACCCCTCGCTGGTGTGAGAGACAAACAACAACAACAACAACAACAACACGTTCACCTTCATCACCCTCGCTGGTGTGAGAGACACAACAACAACAACACGTTCACCTTCATCACCTCTCTGGTGTGAGAGACAACAACAACAACAACAACATCAACAACAACACGTTCACCTTCATCACCTCGCTGGTGTGAGAGACAACAACAACAACAACAACAACAACAACACGTTCACCTTCATCACCTCTCTGGTGTGAGAGACAACAACAAACAACAACAACAACATCAACAACAACACGTTCACCTTCATCACCTCTCTGTTGTGAGAGACAACAACAACAACAACAACAACATCAACAACAACTTCACCTTCATCACCCTCTGCTGGTGTGAGAGACAACAACCACAACAACAACAACACGTTCACCTTCATCACCTTGCTGGTGTGAGAGACAAACACACAACTAACAACACGTGTCACCTTCCATCACCCCTCGCTGGTGTGAGAGAACAACACAACAACAACACGTTCACCTTCATCACCTTGCTGGTGTGAGAGACAACAACAAACAACACGTTCACCATTCATCACCTCTCTGGGCTTGTGAGAGACAACAACAACAACAAAACGTTACCTTCATCACCTCGCTGGTGTGAGAGACAACAACAAACAACAAACAACACGTTCACCTTCATCACCTCGCTGGTGTGAGAGACAACAACACCAACACAACAACAACAACACAACACGTTCACCCTTCATCACCCTCACTGGTGTGAGAGACAACAACAACAACAACACAACACCTTCACCTTCATCACCTCTCTGGTGTGAGAGACAACAACAACAACAACAACAACACGTTCACCTTCATCACCTCTCTGGTGTGAGAGACAACAACAACAACAACAACACGTTCACCTTCATCACCTCTCTGGTGTGAGAGACAACAACAACAACAACAACAACACGTTCACCTTCATCACCTCGCTGGTGTGAGAGACAACAACAACAAAAACAACAACACGTTCACCTTCATCACCTCGCTGGTGTGAGAGACAACAACAACAACAACAACAACAACACGTTCACCTTCATCATCTCTCTGGTGTGAGAGACGACAACAACAACAACAACACGTTCACCTTCATCATCTCTCTGGTGTGAGAGACAACAACAACAACAACAACACGTTCACCTTCATCACCTCTCTGGTGTGAGAGACAACAACAACAACAACAACACGTTCACCTTCATCACCTCGCTGGTGTGAGAGACAACAACAACAACACAACACGTTCACCTTCATCACCTCGCTGGTGTGAGAGACAACAACAACAACAACACGTTCACCTTCATCACCTCGCTGGTGTGAGAGACAACAACAACAACAACAACAACAACATCAACAACACGTTCTTCTTCATCACCTCTCTGGTGTGAGAGACAACAACAACAACAACACGTTCACCTTCATCACCTCGCTGGTGTGAGAGACAACAACAACAACAACAACACGTTCACCTTCATCACCTCGCTGGTGTGAGAGACAACAACAACAACAACAACAACAACACGTTCACCTTCATCACCTCGCTGGTGTGAGAGACAACAACAACAACAACAACACGTTCACCTTCATCACCTCGCTGGTGTGAGAGACAACAACAACAACAACAACAACACGTTCACCTTCATCACCTCTCTGGTGTGAGAGACAACAACAACAACAACAACAACACGTTCACCTTCATCACCTCTCTGGTGTGAGAGACAACAACAACAACAACAACAACACGTTCACCTTCATCACCTCTCTGGTGTGAGAGACAACAACAACAACAACAACAACACGTTCACCTTCATCACCTCGCTGGTGTGAGAGACAACAACAACAACAACAACAACACGTTCACCTTCATCACCTCGCTGGTGTGAGAGACAACAACAACAACAACAACAACACGTTCACCTTCATCACCTCGCTGGTGTGAGAGACAACAACAACAACAACAACAACAACAACAACACGTTCACCTTCATCACCTCTCTGGTGTGAGAGACAACAACAACAACAACAACACGTTCACCTTCATCACCTCTCTGGTGTGAGAGACAACAACAACAACAACAACACGTTCACCTTCATCACCTCGCTGGTGTGAGAGACAACAACAACAACAACAACACGTTCACCTTCATCACCCTCGCTGGTGTGAGAGGACAACAACAACAACAACAACACGTTCACCTTCATCACCTCGCTGGTGTGAGAGACAACAACAACAACCACAACAACAACAACACGTTCACCTTCATCATCTCTCTGGTGTGAGAGACAACAACAACAACAACACGTTCACCTTCATCACCTCTCTGGTGTGAGAGACAACAACAACAACAACAACAACAACACGTTCACCTTCATCACCTCGCTGGTGTGAGAGACAACAACAACAACAACACGTTCACCTTCATCACCTCTCTGGTGTGAGAGACAACAACAACAACAACAACAACACGTTCACCTTCATCACCTCGCTGGTGTGAGAGACAACAACAACAACAACAACACGTTCACCTTCATCACCTCGCTGGTGTGAGAGACAACAACAACAACAACACGTTCACCTTCATCACCTCTCTGGTGTGAGAGACAACAACAACAACAACAACAACAACATGTTCACCTTCATCACCTCGCTGGTGTGAGAGACAACAACAACAACAACACGTTCACCTTCATCACCTCTCTGGTGTGAGAGACAACAACAACAACAACACGTTCACCTTCATCACCTCTCTGGTGTGAGAGACAACAACAACAACAACAAACCCGTTCACCTTCATCACCTCGCTGGTGTGAGAGACAACAACAACAACAACAACACGTTCACCTTCATCACCCTCGCTGGTGTGAGAAACAACAACAACAACAACACGTTCACCTTCATCACCTCTCTGGTGTGAGAGACAACAACAACAACAACACGTTCACCTTCATCACCTCTCTGGTGTGAGAGACAACAACAACAACAACACGTTCACCTTCATCACCTCGCTGGTGTGAGAGACAACAACAACAACAACACGTTCACCTTCATCAACTCGCTGGTGTGAGAGACAACAACAACAACAACAACACGTTCACCTTCATCACCTCTCTGGTGTGAGAGACAACAACAACAACAACAACAACACGTTCACCTTCATCACCTCGCTGGTGTGAGAGACAACAACAACAACACGTTCACCTTCATCACCTCTCTGGTGTGAGAGACAACAACAACAACAACACGTTCACCTTCATCACCTCTCTGGTGTGAGAGACAACAACAACAACAACAACAACACGTTCACCTTCATCACCTCGCTGGTGTGAGAGACAACAACAACCACAACACACGTTCACCTTCAATCACCTCTCTGGTGTGAGAGACAACAACACCAACAACACGTTCACCTTCATCAACTCGCTGGTGTGAGAGACAACAACAACAACAACAACACGTTCACCTTCATCACCTCTCTGGTGTGAGAGACAACAACAACAACAACAACAACACGTTCACCTTCATCACCTCGCTGGTGTGAGAGACAACAACAACAACACGTTCACCTTCATCACCTCTCTGGTGTGAGAGACAACAACAACAACAACACGTTCACCTTCATCACCTCTCTGGTGTGAGAGACAACAACAACAACAACAACACGTTCACCTTCATCACCTCGCTGGTGTGACTCTCCTCTTCCTCCTCCTCCTCTCCTCCTCTCTTCCTGTCCTCCTCCTCCTCTCCTCCTCCTCTTCCTCTTCCTCCTCCTCCTCTTCCTCTTCCTCCTCTCCTCTTCTGCTTCCTGAGCGTCTCCTCTCAGGAAGCAGAAGGACATGCGCAGGATATTTCTGATGCAGTTGGACCTGCAGTAGCTGCATGTTGTTGTTTCCAGATGTGTTTCCAGATGTGTTTCCAGATGTGTTTACAGATGTGTTTACAGATGTGTTTACAGATGTGTTTACAGATGTGTTTCCAGATGTGTTTACAGATGTGTTTCCAGATGTGTTTACAGATGTGTTTACAGATGTGTTTCCAGATGTGTTTCCAGATGTGTTTCCAGATGTGTTTACAGATGTGTTTACAGATGTGTTTACAGATGTGTTTACAGATGTGTTTACAGATGTGAGGATGCACAGACGACAGAAGCACAAAGGAGGCGGGACACTTTGTCCTCAGCAGGGACTTGTGATATTTTCAGGGAGCTTCTTTGTAAATGTGTGTAATTGTTCTTTGTGTCAGACTTACAATCAGGAGGAGGAGTGTGTGAGGAGTGTGTGAGGAGTGTGTGAGCAGTGTGTGAGGAGTGTGTGAGGAGTGTGTGAGGAGTGTGTGAGGAGTGTGTGAGGAGTGTGTGAGGAGTGTGTGAGGAGTGTGTGAGGAGTGTGTGAGGAGCACTGAGGAGTGTGTGAGGAGTGTGTGAGGAGTGTGTGAGGAGCACTGAGGAGTGTGTGAGGAGTGTGTGAGGAGCACTGAGGAGTGTGTGAGGAGCACTGAGGAGTGTGTGAGGAGCACTGAGGAGTGTGTGAGGAGTGTGTGAGGAGTGTGTGAGGAGTGTGTGAGGAGCACTGAGGAGTGTGTGAGGAGCACTGAGGAGTGTGTGAGGAGCACTGAGGAGTGTGTGAGGAGTGTGTGAGGAGCACTGAGGAGTGTGTGAGGAGTGTGTGAGGAGTGTGTGAGGAGCACTGAGGAGTGTGTGAGGAGCACTGAGGAGTGTGTGAGGAGTGTGTGAGGAGCACTGAGGACATGTTCACCACCTCTTTGTTACAGACCCTGTTCTTGATGCATGGCGTGTGAGCGTTTCACT